CCGCTTGTGTTCTGGTGAGGAAAGGCTCAGAGGCTTGTTAAAACTTTAATATACTGTACAATCACAGTAATTGAGTGGAATGTTGGAGTTCTCGCAGCCGCAGCTTTAATTTATGAAGACCCCATGAAAGTTTAATGGATCAGCAGTTGTAGGATCGCCACAATCTAAATCATTCGGTAGCTATCTCTGTTCTGCGCGGGCTGCCAAGTCCTGCCGTTAGCATCTTGTGCCCTAGAAAGATGGCCAGATTGCTCTGAAGCGACGAATGTTCCTGGACGTCTGTTTCTGTTTCTGTCTGCAATGGAAAACACATTGCACCTAAAAGTCTTTGACAGAACTGAACGTCTGTTTGTGTGTGAGCACCTTCGGTTATGACGTTAATTGTGATGCTTTAACCAAATACAGCCACAGTATTTAGGATTTTATTGTTTTTGGCTGTTTTTTTTTTGTTTTTTTTTACTAAACCATCATGGATGGATCCCTGTTGCTTGGTGATTGCTGGATAAACTGCTCTCCTAATTACGGAGCAGCCCTAAGGCGTGTCGGCGAATGCAGAGGAGATGGATATAGTAATCCAACTCCTGCTTATATAGTGTGGGGAAATATAGTGAGTTGCTTGATTAGGGTATATATCCATGTCTTTGCAACAGTTGTACCAACACAAGCCGAACTATACTTGTGCTGTTTATAATTAATAATGTTTTGTCAGGAAGTGGGCAACTGATTGACACACCGCCCTGGAAGGGGCTTATTAAGAGAAGTTATTGTCTATGATTGCTGTAGAAAAACAACATAGTGATTAATGGTGTCTTTTGTGGTGTGGAAACAGGGACACTGAGACTCAGACCTTCGAGGATATAGTGCAGAGAAATTACTGCAGGGAAGCTGTTATGTGTCTAATGAAAGGAAACATTCATCCAATAACTGCAAGAGGCTGAAGAAAAAATAAAATCCTTCTATCTGTTTTTTGTTTTTCCAACTTCTTTAATTCCAATGTGGAATTATTTCCCAGAAATGTCACTATTTCTGACATTGTGTCATTGTTACTAGAGGTGCATATTATCTGAAAAACAGGTCATTGCAGCGTTATTGTTGAATTGTTGCACTTGGCCTACAATTCTTCCACTACTTTCTTTCTTTTACATCATCTTGACGCCGGCTCCTCTCTGTGAGGTTTTGCATGTTGTTCACTGAGATCGGGTGCCTGTTGCATCAGGTGTTGGCAGTGCAGGTCCATCCAGATGGCTAATATATTACTGTCAGAGTTCAAATGAGAAGCACCTAAAATGTCATACACCACCAATATACTACCCAGTCCTTTGTAATTACTATATTAATATGTAATGGCGGTTCAATAAGCTGTGGTACTCTAATTATTAGGTCATGAGAGTTTTTGAACAATAGTGAGCTTCTGATGCATTTATAGCTGGAAATACACAGATTGCATATGCACCATGCGAATAACAATCCATTCATATTACAGTTTAATATGATGTTGGCGCTCTCCTTGCAGACATAACAGGAAAACTTTATTATCTTTTCAAGGGTATTTTTTGTTTACAGCAACACAAGCAAGACTTCATAGACTTCATGCACAGTCTATGAAAATCATAGACACAAAAAGTATATAGTTATTTAATGTGCATTATTAAGTGCCAGCAATAGTTTAAACTAAGCCCAAAGCATTATGGTGACAAAATGCACATTTAGATTTAAATATGTTAAAATAATTGAGAAATTCAATAAAAATCTGCTAATTGGAGATGGAATAAAAGTTAGTGGTTGTTAAGAGACTTGAATTCATTTCATTTGAAAGCTGTTTTATTGTGCAAACCAGTCAAGTTTTTCCATCCTGAACTTGCTCATCTACATAGTTATGCTTTGTGCCATTGCGCACAGTCATGTTGGAACAGGAAGTCGAGTATGAAATGGTCCAAAATGTGTATTCTGAAGCAATAAGAGCTCTTGTCACTTGAACCAATGAAACCCTCATTATAATCCCCTCCAATTTGTGACTCAATATTGTCTAGCAGGTACCTTTCTTCTACAACTAAAAGCATACTTTTCCATTGGGGTGCAAGACAAAGAGACATGATTTGTCTCTCTAGAGGACATGTCTCCTCTACTCCAGAGTCTCGAGTCTCAACCGAGCTATCTTCACACTCTTCTTGAAGTTATCTGAAGGACTATAAAGTTTGGAGCTATTTACCCTGTAAAATACGAGGTGACTGCATCCACTTACTCGGCTGTATGATTTAATGTGTCTTAACACTTTCTGGCTGAGTTGCTGTCATTTCTCAGTACTCATTCACAGTACTCAACAGCTTACAGAGGAATATTTAGTTGCAAATTATTTCATGACTGGAATTATTGCACAGATTCCATTCCATTTGGTGCTATGCTGGAATTCACTGAGATCCTGTGAGTGATCCATTCTTTCAGATGTATTTAGAGAAACCGTTTGCTTGCCTAGGTGATGGATTTTATACACCTCTTGAAGTAGAAGTGATTGTAAAGTTATGGATACATGAGCAAATACCTCTGACCGTATAGTGGAGGAATATTAGAAATGTAACGCTTCTCTTTTTAGGAAAAGACACTTATGTCTGTTTCTGTTTCGTTCTGAATATATGTCCTTAAGTTTATTACTTTTACTTTCGTTTTACTTGGACTGTGAAGCTCAAAAACATTTGAACGCATTTTTAGTACTCTGTTTTCAGTACTTTGGTTATCTGCTAAAATTAAATTCTTTCTTGCAGCCTGAATGAGCTCAATTGGGTTTTAGAAAACAGTTTCCTTTTTAAACCAAGGTCTCCATAATCTTTATGACTTCAAACACCTCAATCAAACTGAAAACAGCTCATTTTGTTTCTTCTTCAGTCAGTGATAGCTGAATAATGTGCCACTGTTGAAAAAAAGGTGTAGACTGTTGAGTTTTGACTCAGCTAATTTCTCAGTTCAGCTCTATGTATATCTCAGTAACTTCTTAAAGATAATTTTTACAGTCTTAAACTGCAAAGCATAAGCGTTATTTGTATGTGCGTGATGCCTTTTCAGTGTTGCTGATTAATATAAGTAAAAAAGCCCTGTCACCTTATCTCCTTTGTCGCTTTTGTTCTACCTTTTGTTATAGAGTCTTTTCTTCTCATTCTAAAACCGTTCCAATAACTCTTGTCCCCGCAAATAAACACTGGCAGTTACCTCTCAATGGTAGCATGCCAGATAAGCAATATTTGCACATCTGGTGTGTTTTGTATGTAGCAAGAAAGCTCATAAAGTTTGTGCTCTGAGAGCGGAACAAGTCAATCTTGTAATGCGATTTATGGAATATTTCTGAAATAAATCTAAGGCCTGCGTCAACCTTTTAGCAATATTGTCAATAATTTTGCAATGACCATCCATATGTTGCATTTATTGAAATGTTGGGTTTTCATGTCTGTAAATAAAATTACATCTGTATTCACCGCAGACATCATTGCACACATTTTTATTGCATTCCTGTTTTATATCTCATTTGCACTTATTTCCTTGTTACCTGCTCGTTGAATCATTGGTTGCAACTGACTTTTATATTACTCATGCTGAAATCAAGACTACTTTTTCAGGACCTCATCCAAGTTTCATTAATAAGAAAATACAAACAGCTAGAGGGGTTTTTTTGTACAGTAGCAGTCATAGCTTTTTGCTGTATATTTATTTTTGAACTGAGACCTAATGCGTGTACTTAATTGTATCTTCAAATCTTTTCTTAAGCATTAAATTATAAAAAACTTTATATTGTTATCTGTTTCAGTAAATTTGTACAAAATTAAATGTACAAACTCGTGCATCATGTTTCGCTAGCTTTGGGTCTACATTTTCACAAAATAAGTCAGACTCATATTGTCTTTTGGCTGTATTTTTATTTCCTCATATATTTTTGGGATTCATGAGTAAATGAATGAAATTATTTGTATAAACTTAAGCCCTTTATTAAAATAGAATAATACCTGAATACTTGTTAACATTGGACTGTACACAAGTCGGTATGGAAACTTTGGGAGTATGCATGTTCTGTAAATGCATTTGCCCAGTAGAGGAGGCTCTGTGTTCTTCATGGTTGAAGTGGAGCATGTCCTGGTTTTCTTCTAACAACTATCAGATTAAGTGTAAGCCTCAGAAGTACTTGTGGGAGTCGACTTTGTTGCATATCCCTCCCCATCTCTCTGGGGACGTGCAGCATGTAACCCCCCCCCTCCCCCCCTTTGTCCTCCTCTGCCTCTTGGGTAAGATCCAGTCAAACCCACAGGGATATGGGCTGCAGGCCAGCAGACAGGTGAGCAACAAACACCATAAACAGTGTAGTTTTACACTCTCTGAAAACACCCATGGGCCTCTGCAGACTGCCGGCTACATGCACTATCTAGACCAAGTGATGTCACAGGAGCAGTGGATTTAAGCAGGTTTTAGTTTGACGCTAATCCCCTCGTGGTGAGCGCAGTAAACGAGAGGACAGTCCCTGCCAATAGCATGCATCAGCCCCCGTTGGATTAGTACATCTCGTCCCCTCCTCCAGTCTGTTGTCATTGTCCAGCATGTGTTTTTACCCCAATTTCTTACCCTCAGTCTTAGTGTGGGATGCCCAGCACAAGCATGATCCCAGCAGAATGGAGTAGAGCCTCACTCTGAAGGTGTGTTATTTTTCTGCCGGTATGTCTGTGTGTGTGTTCTCTTTCTATCATGTTGTATGTCTCTCCCCATGGATTTCTAATGTTTCCAGGGCTGAATTATTTAGACAGGCTGCCAGCAGGGAGCTACATGATAGTTCAGACTTAAGAGTGAAGAGAGGGAGGGGGTGTACAGCTGCAGATCAGGTAAGAGGGTACCTGCTGCTTCACCTGTCCTTCTCTCCTCCCCACGTCTACCTTATGATTGGGGGGTCAGTGTAACTGGAGAGTTTGAAACCCAATACTTAGCTCTATTTTCCGCTTTTGTGGCTATCCTCATTATTGCCTTTACTGATGCCTGACTGGAGCGAGCAGTTGCATTTTGGTGCCTCTTTAGGCCAGCAGGTCGCTGCGTGGAACGAGGGCCAGAACGACAGGCCGGCAAGTCGTTGTTTCTACTGTGGTACCGTCGCGGGGCAAAGGAGTTCTCTGATGCTGGGTGGTAGAGACAGCACAACTGGTTTTCTTCATCAGCTAGACCTGGCTGAGAAACAGCATCAAGGCCTGCATGGACAGCAGCTCCTGAGGAAGGGCTCTGTTCCTGATCTGAGCAGTAACCTCTACCTGAGGCAAGCCATGGCAGGCCGGACCTCGGTAACAGCTCAAGATTACTACCTAGCTGACGCTTCCTTATCTGGTCAGCCACCTGAAGAGTCTGGGTTTTACAGGGACAACCAGCACTCACTCACCAGATCAGCCTCGCATTATGGAGGGGTGAGGCCTGCTTGGGATCAAGGTCAGGCAAGGGCCACACCTTCTGCTTCTGCACCTACATCCGTGCCTCCTCCTCCCCCGCCACCTCCACCCCCTCCTCTGCATGAGCTGAGCCGTTTGTACCGGGAAGCTCTGGGATCTAAGATGATCCCAGACGTCCAGCGTATTGGTGGCAGCTCTTTTACTCCAGCCGCTATCTACGGGGTCCAGCCCCCTCTTCCTATTTACGCCTCTGAACCACCGTCTCTGCCTGCACATCAAGTTTATAACAGCATCACCAGCTTGCCCCTGGAACCTCGCCAGCCAACTGGCACTAGCTCAGTGGTGGACCCAGTATCTCAAGTGATGGACGGAGCTCTCCCACGGGCCTATGGAGCTGTGGCCTCCCAGAGGCTGCCCTATGACCCCAACTATGACCCTGCCTCAGTCATGGTGGCCGCCACAGCTGGAATGCCATCCAACCTGCCTCCAGTCCATCCCAGCTCTGCAGACCCCAAGAAGATGGTAGACCCTACCTTTTTGGCTTTCCTGCGAGCCGAAGGCTTGGCTGAGAGCACCATCACTCTGCTGCTGCAACACGGCTTTGATTCCACAGCCACGTTGATAATGATGGAGGATCACGATATTCGGTCTGTGGCCCCGAACTTGGCCCAAGCCCGTGTTTTGTCCCGCCTGGTGATGGGATGTAAAACAGGCGGCGCTGCGACACGTACCCGGTCTAACAGCTTTAGCCATCGCAATGACCTCTACATGCAGCCACAGGGGCTGACGATGGACACTAGTCTGATGCAACAACCCTCCACTACTATTCAGACCGTATCTCCGAGAATGGGGGAGTTTCTCGGCCGAAGGCCAAGCAGTGCTCCTTCTCAGCATCTCCTGGAGACCACCACCTACCCTGGGGCGAGGCCACTGGCAACTGGAGCTTACCCAGTTAGCCCTGGAGGATACAACAATGTAGTGCCTCAGGGAAGACCTCTCTCTATGTACAATCCCCACACCGGTCTTGCCATGTCTGCGCTTGGACAGCAACCCCCACCAGCCCCTGGCACTCCCGGATCGGCGCCCAAAACCTTCTCTGGCTCCTATTCCCCCATGGAGCTGATGAAGAGAGCCCCAAACCTTCCCCCGGCTTCCCCCATTGCAGCAGCGAGCCCCCTCCACAGCCCACAGCTTCTCCGGAAAGGGATCAGTGCTGCTCCTGAGAGCACCATTGTTCCTTCTACCTCCAACACCTCTCTCCAAGGGCAAACCACCACCAACAACAAGTTGGTTGGACGTCGCACCGGTCCGCCTGTTATAGTCTCAACCATGGCCACCGCACCCGATACAAGTAATGTGAAACCTCAATTTTTCATAACTTATTTTCTAAAATCTTAAGCTTAAATATCTAAATCCATTTTGTTTGTTGATAATAATTTCCACCATGTGATTCTACTCATAGGATAAATTTGTGGTATGCAAAATTGAAATCACACTGACATTGTTTTTTGGAGGAACTGCATGTAAGATGACTCTGACAAGTTAAGCTGCTTTGCTCTGAGAGGTTTCTCTCTCCAAATTATGCAACTATTTATACATGTATTGCACCAGAGTTGTGTCATTTGCCAGAGGGGATTGTGTCTCATCACCAACTTGAAACATTTCAAACAAGCACCACTCAGTTTTTTAGGATGCTTATTTTTAATTATGTTGGTGGTCAAATTTTCTGTGCTTCCGTGCTTGTGTTGCAGGGTTGTGGTGAAATTTTAAATAATATGCCCACTTTGTTGTAGAGTGCTCTCAAAATACATAAATATATGAGGTTGTGTTCATCAGCCATCCTTCAAATGTACTTTGCCTTTTGAGATATATTTTTTTAAATACACCTCTTGCTTTTAGTATGCAAGAGACGTCACTGTCATTCTATTTTACATCGTACTCTCACCTAATCTGGAGCTTAACAGTTAAAAATCCAATTACACTAATTGGATGTATGTTTGTGTAAACTATAATAGGCAACTGGTTTTTGTAGCTTCAGCTGTGTTTCTGTAGTGCAACACAACTCAAAGACATTTCCTTTTTCTTTTTTTGCCTCTTTCAAAATTAAATATAAGCTGTTGTTTAATGAAATATGCCTTATTCTGCTTACTCGATTTGACTTTTAGTGTAACCATTAGCAGCTATTTTTGTTGTTCTTTTCAAATCAGCATTTTTTTGTGTGTTTTTTATTTCTCAATTAATCTCAAGTCATCAATTCTTCTTTTGATCAGTTAAAAAAAATAATCTAAGTTATGTTCTTGCTTAATCAAAACAGCCTGCATTCCTCCAAGAAAAGAAAAGTTATTTTTTGTATACTTTTACATTTGGTATCACTGTTGCATTGCAGTAGGAAGGTCCTGATGCAGAGTCTCAGACTGGGGTCTTTCTGCTTGTAATGTCCATGCTCTTCCTCTGCATGTAGGGGATCTCTGAGTACTCCAGGCTTCTTCCCCAGGCCAAAACCTTCACTGTTAATCGGTAACTGTTAATTGTGTGCATGCACAGTTTCTTAATATGTACCATCCAACAGTCCAACAATCCAGCAGTGGATGTTCTTAATTACATGTTTGAAATTATGGCCTTGGTTTAATCAAATCATAGCACAGTACGGTGTTTAAAATACCCTGTATGCTTAGTAAATGACATTAAAAGGGGTGAATTTACATTGCACAAATTCTGCATAGTACCACATGTAGCGAAACATTGATCAGAAAAATATTGGAGACAGATGTGTCTGACTGCCTAGAGTGCATTCAACACCTTAAAAAAGCACTTAGGCCAGTTTTATCTTTCACCATTAACCCCTGGGTGTCATCATCTGCTCTAGCAAGGCGCCTGTGCTGCTGTGGTTTGCGTCTAAGCTCATATTTATTGTTGCCTAACTTAAAGTACCCTAACATTTTAGAGCTTTTCAATCTTTAAAAACTTTAAAAAATCTTTATTCACCCTTTGTCCACTGTAGTTGTTTTGACATTGTAGGTTTTAGATGGAACTGACTAATGATTGGAGAAAATGTCAGTTCTCACACATCAACTTGGAGAAAGTCAATTCAATTCAGTTTAACCATATAGGGCCAAAAAGACATTTCAGTTGAATCCCACTCACTGGTCCTAGTCAACAATCAGTGCATTAGGTCCAAATTATTGTTCAAGTTAGTTTGAAGGGAACCAAGATTTTTATCACGTCATTGACTTACATAATTCATCCATGTAGCAACTGTTGACAATCGCTTGCTACATCCTTCCTCATACTGAGCAAGGAAGCAGCAAAAGCAAAGAGGAAAAACTTCCCTTTAATAGCAAGAAACTTCCAGCACAACTACAACCTGACTTAGTACAAGCACCCATCTGCCATGACTAGAAGATGACTAGTCGTGGCAGATGCAGATGCATCTGCAGATGCACAAAAAATTAACAGAAGAGCTGATGTAGGGGTTCTTCTTAAGTTGAAGAAAAGTAAAAAGCAGGAGAAAGAGAGAGATTAACTTTTGTCTCAAAACAATGCCCTCCTACAGGAAGGTACAGAGAAAGTGGTCAGTTTGTCCTCCAGGAGCCTAAAACAGCACAGCAGCTTAACCTTCAGTGAGAAATTAAATTTAAAAAGATTTATTTACAAAAAGAATTTCTTCAATAAATATTTTAATGTCGACTGCTTATTATAGTCATCGATTGTCTTCATCTTAGTCTTGATGTGACATTTAAAATCATTGCCAATAAACGACAGTTATGACACTTAGAAATTCTGTCATATGGTTTTATAGCCATAGTGAAATTTAATACTACAGCCATGTATTATCTTTGAAGGTCACACAAATGGGCTTACGTGCAAATAGTTATGAAAGTATTTATTTTATGCTCTACAGACGTTTTCTCAAAAAATCTTGTAGAAATATTGAGAAACTGTTTGAGTTTTACACACAGCGAGTTTGTATTTTGGAACCATCATGTAGGATACATTGTTTTTATATATATATATATTATTCCTAAACACCTAAATTTCAAGTTTAACAAACAACATCTTCTATTGGGAGCTGCGTAACTTTTTAGCTGTGTAACGCCTAATCTTACTCCCCTCCTAATGGCTCTGTGGTCTGCTGCACTTGACACAGAGCAGTGACTTTTATGAAGTGGCCTCCCTTCATGTGTTGTCAAAGAAATAAGAAGCAGATCCAGAAGATGGGGGAGGGAGAGGCTTTTTCGAGCTTCATGGAAAACATCCTCTTCTGTCAGGGGTCACCACTACCCACAGCACTCTTATCACAGCTGGCATCATTTGCATGTGACTGCAACATTTGTTGCTGCTCCAACTTCATCTGATAAGAGGTCGCTCTTGCCACTGATCGGAAAGCATATTTCTTAATTGTGCGTTACCAGGCAACTTAGATTTCTGTGCTAATCAGAGATGGATAATCTTTACGTTTAAGGAAATAGGAAATGTGGAGAGCTGCATGCTGTTGAGCGCTTGTTTTTTTTTTTTTTTTTTTCAATTGTAACCTTTTTTTGCATTCAAGGATGAATATAGTGTGAAAATAATGAGACGCTGCAGGGCGCTTAATGAAACATTTTTTTTTTTAGTTTAAAAGTTAAATTAATGCAGACTTGTTATCCAATCCATGGTATATGCCCTTGATACTTAGTTTGTTCTCCTTTTTTCTGATTTGCTGTATCATCGAGGTTTGGAATGGAGACAATCAGCTTGTGGCTCATCTGAGGGGAAATGAATGCCAAGTTGCTTTAATAACAGCTCATCTGTATGGTTGGGTTTTGCAACTTTCGTCTTAATCTTGACATTGTTCTGTTTAGATCAGGTGAATGTGTTGGCCAATAAAACAAGTGATACCGTCATTCAAACAATTATTTGAACTTTTGTCGATTGGCCAGGTCCTACTGGAACATAAAATCAGCATCTACAAAAAGCTTGTCAGTAAAGGGAAACATTAGGTTGTCTATAATTTACTGATGGACAGACACTTTGATTTTGGAATTGATAAAACACAATGGACCAACACGAGCAGATTAAATGACTCTGTATTTCCAGATGAAAAGAGGACTTTGAACCGCCTAGGTAAGACGCTTCTGACATTGTCTCTGGTTCATCACTGGCTTAACACACAAATTACTTCTATGTCTTATATTCTTATGCAGGTGGCAATTCTTGAATACACTCTCCTTCACTATCTTCTCACCTCTCCGGTTATGTCTGTTGTGGTTTTCAAGGTATTTTTTTGAGTCATGTTATTGGAGCACTCATGTTTAAATACAAAGTTGACAGGTTTTTCTAGCTACCGTTGTTGTAATATATCTTAGCTCTTTTTCTGTCTGTAATTTGTTACTTAAGCATACAAATTGTGTAAAATGGCAAAGTATTTTAAGAGTTCAAGACCATCAGTATTTTTAAATACTGTAGTTTTGAGGAATGAAGGTCTCTTTGATTTTTTTTTTTTAAATCAAAGAATTATTCTTTTATTTTAGACATAAAGGCATGTCTAAACTAAGACATACTTTTCAGTCTTATTTTAGTAAAGTTAGACGTACCTGCTTTTTTATTTAGTTACCTTAAATCAAACTACAAATTCTTTAATTTTTTTAAAAATTAATTCTTACTCTTAAAGCAGACCTCGGGTGGGCGGGTCCATGTTTGTTCTCTGTTCCCCACTTAAGACTGTATTGGTTGGCTAAAGCCGTAAGCAGAGCTAATTGTGGCTTTTAACGGTGGAGTCTAGCTTAGATGCAACAGTTCCCTTCCACCTGAGGCAGGGAGAGCGGCTCGTGGCCCTCAGATTGGCCATGGAGGTGTCCGTCAGTGGCATCCCACAGAGCGGCACAGGTGAGCAAACAGCGTCATGTGAAACAACCCCAGCCCCCCCTTTGAAAGAGACCTGATTGGCTTGTAGCCTTTTACCGTGTGTGTTTGTGTGCTTAGTAGATTAGGCAAAGGTAGACGCTTTGCACGTGGATTTCCCTGTGGGGATAATCTGTGAAGCATCTTTAGATGTGCTTTTCTGGGCAGGAGAATTAGGAGGCGTCATAGGGACGCTGTGTTTGTGGGCAGGCTTTGTTGGACGCGTCACTTCACCTGGAGCTCTTCTTTCTGGGTTGTTTTAGGTTCCATTTTATGACACCAAAAGCTACAAATCAGTTTTTCTGATTGGAGACATCTGATGTTGCAGATGTTGTAATTTCCTTCCTGTGTTTAGAAGGACATTCACAAGGATCCATACCTAATGTGCTTTCATTTGTCCTCTGCTAAACTGCTTTAAGGTGTCTGAGTGTTTTGTTTTTGTGCACAAACCCATCTTAAAGGGGAACAAGT